GAAAACATGAAAAATTAAAAGATAAGCGAAAGATACCAAAGGGACATTCAAAGTCGAAAATAAACTGACACCGCCATGGCTAAAAAAGAAAAAGACCAAACGACAAACAACAGTATAAAAAACACAACATAGAAAACTAAAGACTGAGCAACACGAACCCCACCAAAAACAGGGGTGATCTCAGGTGCTCCGCAAGGGTAAGCAGATCCTGCTCACCACGGATATATGAAAGAGTTAAGTATAAAATAAGTTTATGATATTGATTTGTGAAATTCGTTTTAGTTTCATACTCAATTTAATAGTCTATAGACGAAGTATATCATATGAACACGAATATGCAATTTATTTTATAGCTTGAACAGACATATCTAATAATCGTAATTTTGACACCATGACTAAGTATTAAACCCTAGTAGTAGATGAGTGTGCTCGAAAGATGTGAACACGTACGTGAAAAGTGGTTTAATTAGGAGGAAATAATGCTTACAGCTGCTATAGGCATACTCTGCTCATGCAAAAACAAATGTTTTTCTGTTTACAACTTTCCATTTTTTGATCAACATACAGCAAAGATTAAATATATAAGGAAGGAAACATAAGAATAACAAGATGTGGTATGATTGCCCATGAGACAACTCTCCACCAGAGACCAAATAGACGTTTAACAACTTTAGGTCACCGTACGGCCTTTATGTACATCTTTTAATAACTATAGTACAGTTATACAAATATCTAGATAAATCATGATATAATAGTTTCAAAATAAACTTTTAATTGGTCTGGTTATAAATATAATTAAAATTGACTTTGTCAGCTTTTATCACAAAAAAAATAAATTTCAATTGTCCTCCACGCACCGGTTTTCCTGCTGTTACATTTGCTTATTCGTAAAGACATTCAAAAAAATCAAATACTTTTATTCAAAATATAATATGATATATGTCATATCTAAAACATTGAAAACCATCAGGGAATATTAATATAATTATAGAATATCAATAAATCAGACAGAATGTCAATTTGTTAAATTTCCTCGAAGAAATAAATTTTGAAACCTGAACATGTCTTTAGGCAAAATGTAATTTTGAATGTTTTATCAAAAGCTCTGAATGCGACAACGTGTTTTTTTACAAACAAAAGCATTGGTTACAACAACCTGGCATATGAGAGACAACAGTAGTTTTTCGGTGTTTAAAACTGACATATCCTTTTTGAAAAGAAAGAAAAACCCCGAGAAAACCACATTATTATCATTTTTTTCAAACGGAGCTGACCGGGAGCGTCGACTGGGCAAGCCTGTTTTGCTTGCATTACTTTTATGAGAATTTACGTTCCATGAGCATTCCGTGGTGCGTTTTTATATTGTGTTTGTAATTAGATTTTTACCCTTCAAACTAAAAACAATTGTGGTATTTGCTAAGAAATTTAAGTTTATCCATTGTATTTTCATAATCATACAATAAACGTTTGTAAAATGCAAAATAAACTTTATATGGAAACCTTTCAACTCTGTTAGCACTAAAATTTACTGCTTTTTTTTTTTGTCTTTAAAATATTACACCGAAACAAATGTTCATAAGTAATATTTTTCATCCGGTCCTGGCTTGCAATTCATGTTTTGAAGCCTTCCATTTATGCATTGTATTTTTGTAAATATGCACATAACTTGACACGAAATTTTTATTTTAGTTTGTGCAAAAACATTTAAAAATTGATAAAGTATCCATTTTGATGGTATACAAAAGATGAAAAATTATACGAATTATCTGTATAATTTGCAACATATTAAAACTCTGATCGATTATACAATATATAACTCCGAAAAGTTCCAAATTGTCATTATAGATTACATCAGAGAATCAAATTAGCAGATTTAATTAATGATAACGCTTAATCAAACTATACTAGAAAATAAATTGGTGAGACGTTCATGACAATGAGTTGGAATAAATCAGATCGGTAAGATGAATTGACCTTTCAGTCATTCTTGATTTCTTCATTCAGACATCGGTCGATAAGTATTTCACTGCATTCATAAAACAGAGTTACTCCGTCGCCTGATAGTTGTGTTTGAAATACTTAAATAAACTGGCAAAATATAACGGATGTAAGTTTCCAAGCTTGAAAATGGGGAAGCAGTCATCCAGCCGTTAAATAAAAGCAGGTGCAAAAATTCAATTTGTGTAAAAGCTTCCTGTAACGTTGATTTTGGTTGAAAACTGGAGTTTATAACACAGGTACGCACTTTACCCCACCCATCCAACTTGATTACGCTATTTAAATAAAAATGTTTTCTTGTATTTCAGCCTTACAATGTATTTTTTCATTTCAATTTTACATAGTTGTTCTTTTTCGACAAAAACTTTTTTTGTGCATAAATATCTTTAAATACTAAAATATAACATCTAAATACATATCTGTTTTGCTTTCCTATTAAAAAAATCGAATATGATTCGGGTTAACCAAGAAGCGCTCTTTAACCGCTTGACAATGAGCGCACTTGATGTAGTTTAAGTAAGAAAGGCTTTCTCTCATTCCATTTGAAACGAAGGTGTCTAATGTATGTTGATCCAGAATGGCTTTCATGCCGATATAGCGAATCTTGTACAAGATATTCCAGAATTGCTTTCATGCCGATAAACTACAGCGTATCTTGTACAGCATAACCTAGAATGGCTTTCGTGCCGATTAACTACAGCGTATATTGTGCAGGATAACCAAGAATAGCTTTCATGCTGATACACTATAGCGTATCTTGTACAGGATAACCAATAATGGCTTTCATGCCGATACACTACAGCGTATCTTGTACAGGATAACCCAGAATGGCTTTCATGCCGATAAACTACAGGGTATCTTGTACAGGATAACCCAGTATGGCTTTCGTGCCGATAACTACAGCGTATCTTGTACAGGATAACCAAGAATGGCTTTCATACCGATACACTACAGCGTATCTTGTACAGGATAACCAAGAATGGCTTTCATGCCGATACACTACAGCGTATCTTGTGCAGAACAATCCAAAATGGCTTTTCAACCAATTCAGTATTAACATAATTGAGGCATGTTAATCCAGGACGGCTTTCCAAACGTTTTTTTTATGTTAACAGCTTATACAGATAATCTTAAATGGCTTTCCAGCCTAATGAAACACCACTATAATGCACGGAAATAAAAACAACTTTCTAATCGGTTGAAATTGATGATATCAGATGCAGTTATCGCAGAATGACTTTTCAAACGATTTATTATGTGTATACCTGCTTCGGAATTAATCCAGACTGGCTTTTAAACGACTCATTATTAACATACCCGATGCAATGACAAGGCTTTCCATCAATTTACTACTAATAAACATTACTAGTATGTGGCTTTATGCTCAATAGCTTTTACAAGGCTAATTTTACAATAAGCCAGTATTTTGCAGATAAATCGAAAATGGCTTTTCAACAGTGAAAACTGTGTCCAGCAGATGATTTGTTATCCTGAATATTACATAAACCGCATCTGAGATCACGTCGGTGTTTGTTGTGGATCCTATTGGCCCGTTTTTAGTATTGTGTGTGGTGTTTTGTATGCGTTTGTTTGTCTTTTCTTCTGATTTTTGACATCCATGGTTTTGTTTGTTTTTTCCAACTTATGAATTTTGATTGTCCCTTTGTATCCTTATGTTTTGTCTCTGTTTTAAATGACTATAACACTAGTACGTGTAAGCCTGTAAGTATTGATAATACGGGCATTCTTAATATTTTGATTAAAACGCCATTGACAATTCTCATTTAAACGCTAGTGTAATTCATTAAGTTGTAAGTCTGGTATCTTCAATAAGTATTTTGTAACATTGGTAGCTTCAGCTGTCTCTTAATGATAATGAAAATACCTTATACAGGTTAATCCAGTTTGAGTAATAATGAGCGTATACGGTGAAAGGGATACGGAAAATCATTCCAGTAGATTGAAAATGAGTGTAAACAAGTATCAACAAAAATGCCAAACTATAAATAAATTCATAAAGGGGGATGTCCATATAACAGGACAAAACAAAACGCTTGACTACATCAACCAACGGATTGAATGGAAAACAACTGTCATAATCCTGACTTGGTACAGGCATTTTCCAAAGAAAATGGTGGGTCAAATCTGGTTTTATAGCTAGATAAAACCCCCCACTTGTATGACAGTCGTTTATAGTTCCGTTATATTGACAAAAATTTGTGACTGTTTGTTGTCCAACCGATTGACAATGAGCATACCAGATACATATGTTCAAGGATATTTTTCCAACTTTTTACAATATGTTTATCTGATACTATACAACTAAATCCATAAAGGCTTCCTACGTATTGACTGTTGCATATCTGGTGCAGGTTTGTCCATTAAAGCTTTCGATTTCATTGAAAATAATTGGGTTACAACAAAAAGACAATAAGTGTACCTCGTCTTGTATTAACAGCCCCTCTGGTCATGTTATTACTGGATATCTAAACATAATTCATCATGAACATCTCCGAAAGGTGATATATCATGGTCCTATAGTGTTCAGAGAACCCAATGCGAACCATAACTTCAAAATAATTATGGATTCCATCGAGGACTACGTCAGAGCATGGGCTAAACAAGAAGAAGTTGAACTGGACACTTTGTCGGAATGGGTCAAAACAATCAGGTCTCTGATAAAACGTCGAATTCATAAGTTCAAAAACTGTGTGATTGATCGACCAAAGTCCGTTTTCAGAGACAAAAAAGCTGTGAAATGTCTATCATCTCGTCACGATAAATATGTTGTTGTTCCTGCGGATAAAGCTTCAAATAATATTGTCTTTGTATGTAAATCGTACCACTACGCGTGCCTTGTAGAAGAATTAGGAATAAATTAGCTCTCAGGTAATCCCACATACAAAAACGTATCATTTCGCACGGATGAGATTTTTTGGCGAATCATAAGTCCTTCATGGCTTCAGGGATCATTAAATTGAATAGCAAATCTGAGGACTTACCTTGTTTGTATTGGATACCTAAGCTCCACAAAATTCCGTACAAACAACGGTATATTGCCGGCTCATCTCAATGTTCTACAAAGGAATTGTCCGTTAGATTGACAAAAATTCTATCTGCAGTGAAAGAGGGTCTTCAGAAATACTGTGCGACTGTTTACTAGCGTAGTGGTATTAACCATATGTGGATTCTAAAAAACTCTAATGAACTTCTGGATAATCTTAAATCTAAATCTTTCTCTGAAATTAATTCTATCGAAAATTTTGATTTTTCAACCCTTTATACCACCATTCCCCATGTAAAATTGAAAAATCGTCTAAAAGAAATAATCCACAATGATTTTCAATATAAAAAAAATGGTACCCTACGCTATAAATGTATTGCTTTGGGATACCATACGACATATTTTGTTAATAGTGAACAGAAAAGTAAAACTTGCTACACAGAGGAACAGGTGATCAGTATGCTGGAGTTTCTTTTTGACAACATATATGTTGAATTTGGAGATAGACTTTTTCAACAAATTGTCGGCATTCCTATGAGAACGAACTGTGCGCCTCTCCTTGCTAACCTCTTTTTATTTTTATATGAGTCGGAGTTCCTTCAGACACTTGTCAAAAACAAGAAGATAAAAGATGCCAGATTATTTAATTTTACATTCAGAAAAAAGTAAAATAACAAAAATACCGAAGTCCAAGGAAAATTCAAAACGGAAAGTCCCTGATCAAATGGCAAAATTAAAAGCTCAAACACATCAAACGAATGGAAAACAACTGTCATATTCCTGACTTGGTACAAACATTCCTTGTGTAGAAAATGGTTGATTAAACCTGATTTTATAGCTAGCTAAACCTCTCACTTGTATGACAGTCATATAGAATTCCATTATATTGACAGCAATGTGTGAGAAAAAACAGACATAATAGGTAACAATGTTAAAATTGGCGAACAGCAGTCAATAGTGTGTTATAATCTAAATCAAAATTAAGATTATAACACAATGTTGATTGCTGTATCCAAATCTTTTAGATTTTTACCCATTATGTCTGTTCTGTTTTTGAATGAGCATACAAAACGGAGGATACTCCAGAATTTCGATTATCCTACACTTTTAATCATTTTATAACTCACTTGGAATCAACCAATGCTAACGTACTGGAAGTCTTTAACAAAATAATCTCCAAATTATTGGTTTAAAACATCAATAGAAATATGATGAATATTTTGTTTCTAAATTATTGTTAACTTTAGGTGTAATATCACCAAATCACAGTACGTCACATCCGGTTGCATACGAAAATAGGTCGGAAAAAAATATTCCCTTGAATTTGACAGTTGTAGGTAATTAATCCTACATTTCATTGCAGTAAAACATTTCTGGGTCATAAACATATATCTTGGGTATTTAAAAGCACCATTATTTTTTTATTTGGGGTTTCTATAGAATATTTTGGAAACTTGAGGTTACATGGTTACTAAAGCTTGTACACAAGTTAATAAAAGAGGAAAATTTGATTGGTTAACTTCCAGTGATGGTTATTTTCTTATATGCAATGAAATAGTATGTGAAATTTTTTCTATAGTACTGGACAGGATAAAAATTTACTCATACCAAGTATTTCTGTATTTGAAACAAAGAAAAATTCTGCACAATTTTTTGAAAAGTGCAAATTTAACAAAGACTAATAGGGGAAAATCAATGGTGGTATTACACCTAATATGGGAAGCTGTACATGCACCTTTGACATTGTTAGTACTCTCATTTGTTAAAATTTTCTTGCTATTTAAGTGAAATATTACAAAAAATGAAATATTCTGAGTGGATTGAGTCTCCAAAACACATTTTATGAGAAAATTTCCTTGAAATAGGACTCTACCATGAATATTAGTTGACATAACAAGCCATACTAAGTGTTTTGGGGAGCCTTTTCTCCTTATTTCTTATATTCTGCTATAATAGAAAATGTTTCTAAGAAATACTTTAATAAATATATAGTTATAAGTAAATGAAATTATTTTTAAAGCAGTAACAACAAATTATTCACAGGAAGAGAAGCTTTTTATGTCCCTCTCTGGAACGCTGCGTAAATTTAAGTTTTACGTAAGGACTTATTGAAACCTCCTTGGAGACTGTAAACTTTTATGTTGATAGTTCATTCAGCTTGAATACTTCAACTACTCATTTATTATAACATTTCTATCATAAATGAGTGAAAGTTACCCCAAAATTTTTATTTATTGGCCTTAAAAGTTGAAATTTTGAGGAAATGAGAGGTATAAATGGGCCAAAACAGACCTTATAAGGAAGACAAAGAGGTCCATTAGTGGTATTTATCATCCTAAAGTCATCTTTTGTATCATATTCAACTGTTTGTAGGCAGATGAGATAGATATTTGATCATTTATTGGTCTACACTATATTCTATCATGATGCGGCTTGGTTTGGATCTTTCGAAGAAATTTTGCTCGAATCGCTGTAGATGTCATCTTACATTATACTAGATTTTTCTCAAACTATTGAACAGATTATGACAAAACTTGACAGGAATGCTTGAAATAACCAGTATTACAAAGGAAAAAAGTCTCATTCAGTTTATTTAACAAAAAAGTCTTCTTTAGGTGTAATACCACCAAATCATAGTACGTCACATCCGGTTGCATACGAAAATAGGTCGAAAAAAAATATTCCCTTGAATTTGACAGTTGTAGGTAATTAATCCTACATTTCATTGCAGTAAAACATTTCTGGGTCATAAACATATATCTTGGGTATTTAAAAGCACCATTATTTTTTTATTTGGGGTTTCTATAGAATATTTTGGAAACTTGAGGTTACATGGTTACTAAAGCTTGTACACAAGTTAATAAAAGGGGAAAATTTGATTGGTTAACTTCCAGTGATGGTTATTTTCTTATATGCAATGAAATAGTATGTGAAATTTTTTCTATAGTACTGGACAGGATAAAACTTTACTCATACCAAGTATTTCTGTATTTGAAACAAAGAAAAATTCTGCACAATTTTTTGAAAAGTGCAAATTTAACAAAGACTAATAGGGGAAAATCAATGGTGGTATTACACCTATAACACATATATTAATCGTTGATATTTCGTGATCATTTTGGTCGATTATATCTTGCAAACGTTCTAATTGTGGGCTTCCGTTTAGTTCAAAAAGGGCTTTCGTAAGTGATTTCTCTTTTCTCTTTGTATCTTCGATATATTTTAGGTATACACATTAGTTTACCGAAGCGAGTCCAAATGAAATTATTGTGACACTTTCAGATAAGTGCATTGCTTATATTTTATTATTGCCTTGCAGTACATAACTATTCAAATAATATATTAATTTGACAAAGTATATTCAATTATTTCTGTGTGATAATGCAGTACCATTTCATCCAGTTAGTAATAAAGCAGTTAATCGCCAAAGAAAATAGAAAAAAATCAATCAGATTTAATTGGGAATAAATGTATAATTGATTACAATAGCTATACTCATGCTTTAAGAGTAAAAAATTGAAAACAACACGTTTAATAATTTCATGCGTCCGAAGCGCTTTTCTGGATTTACCTTCATCAGGAACGCTCAATGCCAAACATTTGAAATCCGAGGGATGTATAAGTACCGAAACAGTTGAAGAGCTATATGACAAAAATACCTAAAAATATAGCCAAATTCATCTAAGGTCAACTTTGCCTGAGGGAGTTGAAACCTTAGTTTCTTTATAATTTCAAAATTTATAAACAGACAATTTTAGAAAAGTTTGTTATAAATCATGTCAGTACAGAAGTACTGACTACTGAACTGATGAACGTTTTAGGTATAGTTTAGTTGCGGTACTTTTTTCTGTGCTGTCAAGTTCCCATCACATTTCCAATTCAAAGGTTTAATTGAAAGTAAGCGTATAGGAATCAGGAGAAACCTTTTATAAGTATGCGCGACACGATTAATAGTGTTTATCATGTTAGTTTTGAATAAAACGGTTGGAAGGTAAGAAAATATTATAACTTCGTAACAAACAAATACAACATGTTTTAAACAAAGGCCTCTTTACCACCTTGTTATCCATAAACCAGTTTCCTCAACAAGTATTCGTAAATGTTTGTTTTCATAGCATGCGAAGGTAATTAGTCGGCAAACGCATTGGAGAGGGTTTGATGTCAAAATTTTTACGATCATGACAGAAAAATGTTGTCTAATTTATTTGAATAATTCTAACAACTACATGTAAATAACCCACTAGTAATAAGGATGCAGTTGGTTTCAGCTGTGCAATTACTAATAATAGCAATTACTAATAATTGCAAAGATGACACTATTGGATATTTGTATTTTTGTATGATTGGTTATGCTAGGAGTATTCCAATTTCTGAACATGAATACAATAAGGGCTTGCATATAAATCTAGGTAATTAAGAAATACATATGATAGTAAGGATCGTAGATTTTTATTGAATATGTTGTAGCCCCTGTTGACAAAACGGCCAACCAAAATTGCTGTATTGCCTGCATTCCGTTGATAACAGTTTTACATTATACGCTTAACCAGTTATTACTTCTAATTTGACTTAATGCCATGCAAAAATATTTCCAAACAACAAACACAAAGTATTATTCCACTTCAAGATCACTAAAAATCAGAAGTTACTTAGTGCCAATACATAATCATTTACTATAATAATTATACTTTTCAACAGAGAAGCAGTCAATTATAAAATGAACACATAAATCTCCAAACGATTTAGGTTCATTAAGAAAAAATAGGTATATCTCTGACTGTTTTTTTGGCTGTAGTGATATTTTAAAGGTAGTAATTTGTCAAATTACGAAAAATTAATGTACAATTAATTATATGTATGTAACGCAAAACTTGTGTGTTGAAATAATTATGTAACTTAAACAAATGTTTCTTGAAGACTAAACTACATCTGGAATAGAAAGCATTGCATCAAATCAGAAAACACATGGGATTATCTGTAAATACAGGCAACAGTAGTTTACCGATGTTCAGGTTCAAACCTCATGCATCATAATTCGATTAAGTGGAAAAAATAAAGGTTGCAAAAAAAAAA